CTGATGTTTACAGTTATTGCAATAAGTTTATAGTTACAGTATGTCATTATGATAAACTACTGACTGCTGTGATTAATTAGTGACAGAGATTTAAGAGTGGACGCCAATAAGGCAGACGTTATTCGGTTCGTGAAGGCCTTATAGTGTCAACTTGTAAAGCGTAGCGGCAAAGGCCTACCTTCCTTTTTATTTGAATTTCATTTTACCATGTTTTAATGATGCTGAATTAAGTTTAATGTTAATGATGCGCATTTTGCCAGTGTATTATTAAGTATTATTCTTCCTTAATCACCATCATTATGCCCAATAAATTGGCCAGTTAAGTCTGATGTTAACTTGAGGTCAGGATCTACTTATTTTTAAACTAGGGCCTAGTTTGGACTTCATCTATTCTGGTTTGACTTCTCTCAGGCAAAGGTGCTCTGAACTCGTCAAGCCGTATGTTTCGGCAAACTGCATTCTTAATTGTGCCCCTGGCCAGTTTCATTTTTTCGTGTCTCCATAAAATTGAACAAATATAATTCAGTAAAATCAATATTTACGTATTGTTTCACCCTCTCAGATCAATCATGTCAGAGAAGAAGAAGTTTAAGAGCGGAGCTACAAGGAGATTTATCCATATGTTATCAGTATCAATCCTCTTGCACATTACATTCCCCTAAACTGGAAGATGTATGTGCTGTGGAAAGCTGCAATGAAACAGTTTCATTTTTTGGTCTTATACAAGAACTTTATAATTTCTTTTCTGTTTCAACTCAATTTTACTCAGTAATACCTCAGTCCCTTAAAGCTAAAACTTGATGTGATTCTACATTAATAGTTAAACGAGCATCAGACACCAGATGGTCTGCAAGAGCCGATGCCACGAAAGCCTTGTCTAAGGGCCACGGCTATTTTCAAGAAGCTTTGGGGTCAGTGTCAGAAAATGGAAAGGTTGACACACGTTATGAAGCAAACACTGTACTCAAGCAGCTATCAAAGCTAAATACAGTTCTTTTGGTAGACCTCCGGACTTTCATATTAGAAGGGTTCAATCGAGTCAGCAAATCACTTCAAAACTGAAAAACTGGAACTTCAATCAGCAACTGAGCGTCTCTAATCGTAATGGATTTTTTGACGAATTGCTGGCT